AATGCTGAGGAGGTCTTTGTTTCTCTGCAACCAGGCTCAGTGATGCAAGGTTTCCATTGTCATCCCAATCCAAAAAACATTTATCAAGCACCTAAAATAAGCAAGGCAGTGTACAGGGGTTGGTGTGGCCTCAGGGGTAAGTGGAGAATTGTGTGAACTGAAATCAAAGAACCCAAAAGGGACAGAGCTGACCAAACCCTTCCATTCAACTAATCCAAATCTTCTCTTTTTCAGAGGGGCAAACTGAGGCCTAGAAACAGGAAACAAGATGCCCATGATCACACAGTAAACTAACTGCCGAAGCAGGATACAACCCTCAGTCTCCTAACTCCTAGGCTGGTGCTTCTCCCACTATACTTTGTGGGATGAGTGTATGTGTGTGTTTCAAAAACCACATTTTAAATGGGTCTCTCTTTCTCTTATAAGCAAAAGTGCATTTCTCTTTCACTAGCCTCCCTGAGCCATTCCCAGTCAGATCCAGGGAACAGACAAGAATCCCCTTTCTGAGGGGCACAGGGAGGCCAACACCCTAAAATGTTCTGCTTCTTGATATAGGAGTCCCTGAAACTCCTCTGCCTCCCAAAGATCCACTTGCGTCAGTGTCTTTACCGCCTCACCTATGCCCCAGGAACTTTGAGGATATAGAAGACCTGTTGCTACTCACAACTTTATAAATGCTAGTTGCTGATCATTATCAAGAGTCTTGGTTGAGTGAGCTGAGAAAAGCTAAAGGAAAGAGTGTCCTCAAGAGAAATCCCATAAAGCAGAGAATGGCACTCCTGCAATGGCAAGCAGAGCACTGAAACTTACTAACTAGCTGGCATAATGAGGGATAGGTCTGGGGGGGTGATGAGGAGGGCTGCTCCCAGATCTGATCACATCCTCGCAAAATTCTTAACTGGTCCATAAAACCCTGCATGATACGGCTCCTGCCTAGCTCTCCATTCCCACTTAACACCATTCTCCCCTTGATTGTTTAGTCCCTGCAACACCGCCTTCTTTCAATCTCTTAAGTGTTTCAAGCTCTACCCTACATTAGGACCATTCTTGATGTGGAACACTCCCCTCTGCCACACACACCCCCGCCACCCTCACTCTGCCTGGCTAACTTTTTCTCATCTTTTAATTCTCAGTTTAAGTGTTACCTTCTCAGATCTTGTCTCTCTAGTCTAAAATTAGGTCTCTGTTTTTCACTTTTTTCACAGCACTTGTACCTTATGTTACTTTTATCTGTCCACCATTCCTTCCTTTAGGGAGCCACTATTTTAAATGGTCTTGGTGGGATTCTAGGTTACAATACTTGCCTCCCCCAGCCCTTGGGACAGGCATATGACTCACAGGTGGCCAACCATAGTCTTCCCCGAGATTGATACACGGTGGTTGGGAGAGAAAAGACCGCATTTTGCAAGAGTTGGGAAGATAGGAATCTGGAGCTTACCACCATCTATCTTACTCCTCATGCAGATTTTGGCTACAGAAGGAGGCTGAAGGGAGCAAAGCTGATAAATGGAGAGTGCAACTGAGTCCTTGGTTGAGTGAACTTCCCAGTTACATGAGCTAATAAATTACATTTTTTTAAGTTAAAGTTTAGTTTGATTTGGGATTTTATTACTTATTATAATGAGAGTCTAACTCATGCAGAAACTTACCACAATTTTTAATAGCTTTATTGAGATATAATTCACATACCATACAATTCACCCATTTACACACTCTTTAATTATATACTTATTTATATAATCATTTGTTTAATGTCTCTTTCCCCATTAGTTCCATGACAATAAGGATCGTAGCCATTTGTTTACCATGATATTCCAAGTGCCAAGACAACACCTAGCTCAGAATATGTGCTCAATAAATATTTTTCAATGAATAAGAGAATAAGTGTATTGTGAATGATTATCTACCCTCTGCTGGGTGGTTGGGATAATGAAACAAATCAGGCATAACCCCAGCTGCTCTCCAGGTCTCACAAGAGAGATAGACATCTAAACCAGCAGGTTCCCATAAACAACAGAGGAAAGCTCAGGACATTGTGTAGGACAGAGATCGGTTGCTTTGACCTGCCCAAATATGACCAATTTGTTAAGGCCCTCCTCAAGTGCTTCCCAAAACCCTGTACTAAGAATTAATATCACTTTTCAACTGTTTCTAAATAAACGTGATACATCTATACTGACTCCACTACTTCTTAACTGAGTAAACTTGAACAAGTTACTTAACCTCTCTGAACTTCATTTTTCAGGGTATTGGATATGCCTGATAGTACCTATCTTGAAAAGTTATAGTGAGTACTAAATGAGATAATTAATTCAAAGCATTTCATATACTGTCTGTCTGGCTTGCTATATATATTACCTAATATTACCATATTTGCTGTATAGTGAGGTTAAGTGGTTAGGAACACAAGATATGGAGCCAGACTACTGCTTAGGTTCAAATTCCAACTCTAGCTGTGTGACTTTAAGAAAGTTACTAAAATTCTCTGTGCCTCAGTTTTCTCATCTTAAGACAAAAAAGCAACTTGGACATAAGAAAAGTATATATCTCAGAGGGCTCTAGGGGGGTTAAATTAAATGATTAATACTTAAATAAAACTCCAAATAGTGCCTGGCATATAACAAACACTTAATAAATATTTAACCAATTTGGCTTTTTAAAATCTTACTCATAAGGGCTTGGCATGCTGGCTATATTTTCTTCCTAATATAAAACTAATTTGTTTCAAAACTTAGTTTTGTTTAAAGACTTGACATGATGATTACATTTTTTCTAATACACATAAAAATGTATACATAAAATCTTATGCACACTTTCAGTGGTATAAGTCTTTCTCTTTGGGAAATTCTATTCTAGGCGGGCACTCCAATGATCTGTGGTTCCCTGAACATACAGTGCTGTTCCTTGACCTTTCCAGTGTGATTCCCCCTTCTTGGAATGTCCTTACCTCTCCCTCACTTGGCTGCTTCTACTTGTCTTCAAGACTTAGCTTGGGTATTACGTCCTTTGGCCCCCAGTGATTAAGGTACATCCTCTGGGCTCCCACGACCCCCCAGCACATCCCTCTGTCACAACACTGATCACTTGGGGTATCACTGTTTCCGTCCTTCAGGTGAGGGAATGTATCCTATTTCACAGCATAGTACTTGGCATAGCAGGTGCTCAGGAAGCCTTAACTGGACTGAAGTAAAATGAAGTAGCCAAATATTTAATATAATAAGAATTAATCAGAACCTATTTTTGTAGTTTCTACTCAGTGCCAGGCCATTTGCTGGGCATTGTGGGTACAAAGATAAACAAGATTCATTTTCTGTCCTCATGGAGCTTTAGGGAGATGGGTAAGTAAGCAAGTGTTCCCAAGTGTGATGGGTACTGTGACTGTTGTGTGCATAGGGCACATTAAGTAGGGGCACAAAAAAAAGAGCTCAGGGCATGAAAGTCTTCACAGAAGATGTGAAACCTGAGCTGTTTCGAAAGCTGTATGGGGGTTAGTGGCTGGATGAGGGTAGGGGGTGGGGAACAGAGGAGTTCTGAACAGATGGAGCATAGCCAGTCTAGGGAGAGTGCTGGGAGTCTCCCTGGGGACAGCAGGTTGAAGGCATAAAGAGATAGCCTGAGGTCACCAATTATAGCTTCATCACATGCTTAAAGTTTTATGAACTATGGGAATGGGTGGAAGCACTTTCTGGACCCTGAGAAACTCTGTGATGGAGTAAGAACAGCAAGACCCAAGATATCCCAACCTCCCTACTGCTTAAATACCTAAAGTTTGCTAATTTCTATTCTAGGGCACTCTGGGGAATAGAGGAAGGGAGAAAGAAGTATAGGACACCCCTCCACACATGTATTCATACTAAATAATATAGGTGTGTACCAAACATCGTTCATACTTATACAATTTACCCACCTACACGCCCAAATATTTGTACTTAAGAAACTGTGAGAGAATAAAACTTCAAACTTCATACTCTTCAGTCATGCAACACTAGGTTGTGAGAAATACTTAGGGAGACTGGCTAAAATATAAGCAATGCATACTTTCTTCTAGAGGAAATTTTATCCAAGGAAATCCTACAACAAACACCAATACAGGGAAGGGAAAGGAAGGGAAGGAAGCAAGCTGCTGTTTAAAGCAAGTGTAGGTGGGAGTCTTGCTGTGAAGCCACTGAGACACACTGGAGGCACCTGAGTCTCAGTAGAGCGCAAGGATCAAGATGCTTTAATCTTGGAAAAAGCCTGGGCTTCACGGAGCTGCATACTTAAACATCATCATTTTATCCCTTCACAGAATTACTTTGTCATGAATTGTGTTTTGGTGAGGAAGTGTCAGCTTACATTGAGAGATTATAAAACACAGCCTGCAATGTTGTGGCTGCTGTAAAAATCTTTGATATTAAGGATATCATCACATGCAGCATATAGAGACTGCTCTATAGTTGCCAATGAAGAGTAGTGCTTCTCTGTAATAATGGGTTTGTTTTTATTTTAGGAACAATCTCTGAACCATGCAACTAATATGCTTCTCTCTTTGCAATGGTTGCTAGGAAGCTCAAAGCCAATATTTTGACTCAACTCTTGTACATGCCCAATAACTTAAAACATACATACTTACCCTCACTCCTGGCATCCTCTTATTTTCCCCTACCCTTTTTTCCCTTTGCTCCAATTTTCTCATTTATTTTTTTAAATTGATGTACTATAAAGATTTCTAAAAGACACCTCAAATCCTTTATGGAAGGATCTGGTGAAAAAAAAGTTCATAAATTTAAATTTTACTTTACATTCAATGTATATATACATATCACATAACAAATTACTTAAAATTCACTATCTCAAAGCCCATATGTATGTCACACAAACATAAAATACACACAGAGCACACATGTACATAATTCACAATCACAGCACATCCTTAACATTACACACCCATGCACGTGTGCATGCACACACACACACACACACACACACACACACACACACACACATACTTGTGCACATACCAAGCTGCTCTGCAAGGAGCTGGCCCTTCTCAGTGGGAACAACCCTCTCTTCCTCCATGTCACACTTGTTCCCCACCAGGATAACCTGTGCATTATCCCAGGAGTAGGTCTTGATCTGAGTAGCCCTAAAAAGAGACAGAAAGAAGACTATGTTAATGACACCCTCCTAGACTGGCATGGACCCTGCAAAACTCAAAGAAATGGCTTCCTTTCCACAGGGCTAGCAACACACAAGTTATGTCAACTGTCAATTAATTCAGCTGAAAACAGACAGATGCCTGCCCTGCTGGCTGTCACAGATGCTGATCCCTTAAGTCCTGGTTTTAAATCTCAGTCAGCTCTTTAGAGACCTCTTATAATGCATTTGCCCATCCCTCCACACTGAGCACAGACGTCCTTCTAAAACATCTATCTGGCCATGATAAGTCCTTTCCCAAAAGCTTTCTCTGCCCACCCTCTACACCCCTTGCCCTGCTACCAACTAGCTATGCAATGAAGTCTAGATCCCTCAGGTAAGCCTTGAAGGCCATTCATGTCCTGTCTCTCTCACTTCATCATCCTTCCTCCCACTTCACAAACTTTCTCACCCATTCCCCACATGCTCTTCCATGGTTTATACCTTTGCCTAAACTGGGAATCCCTTCCCCGCACTAACTCATCCTCCAAGGCCCAGTGCTGCTCCCACCATTCCTTGGGGAAGCCTTCTCAAGCTTCCCCAGGCATAGCTAGCTTTTCCCTCCTCTGTGATTCATGAACCTCCACTGAGGTCTCAAATCACGTTTAATTGTAGAAACCAAAATGTCAGCGGTGGTTTCCTTCATGTGGGGTGATTATGAAACTTCAAAAATACTTGTCTTCACTTTTCAAATTTTTGAAAGTGAGCATGCATTACTTCTATGATGAGAAACAAAATTTTAACAGAGGGAATAAAATAGGATCCTTGTATTATGGAGACATCTTTTTGCAGGGATGAGCCTAATTCTGTCCCCAGCCACCCGATCAGGTATAAAGATTATTTCCCCTTTTTGTTGTCTACAACTTTATTGTGGCACATGTTACATTTGGATGAATTTATCTATCTCTCCCCAAGGGCAGGGACAGACTATTCATCTTGAGGGTGCCAGTCCTCAGCACCCTCAGAGCAGAGAAGGTATGAGTGAACAGCTGATGAATGAATAAACCAGCAAATTGTTAATCCTGAAGCAGATTTAAAATCTGACCCTATTCTGACACTTACACTCAATCTAACTCAACCTTAACTGCAGCCAGGATCAACCCTGCTCCTAAAACTAATCCCACCACCAAATTTCTCATTAAGGGTAAAAATTTATTCCCTCAAAGAATGGGATTCACCCAGCCACCATTTGTTGTGGGGGTCATCAAAGAGCCAGATTCCATGCCGGGGTACTGGGGCTTAGATGCAGGTGAGGGCTAAGCTGGGTGAAGTTTCTCAGAGGCAAAACTCAAAGGACAGGGCTTGGGAGAGACAGACCCTCAATCTTCAGTCTCAAGGCAGGTAACTGGAGCCAACTCTCTATTTCTCCATGCTACTCTTCTTGTCATTGCCCCTCTGCCCACCCCACCCTCTCCCAGCTTTCAGATTAGCAACTCAGGCTATTCTTGGAGGAATCATCACCAGGTGTTAAAGTTGCTGTGTTCCTGAGGCAGAAGGAACAGGGACTAATGGAGAAAAGGAAGGAAGTCAAGTCCAACAGGGAATAAGTGTGGAGACACTTATAAAAAGAGCTAATCACTCCATGGTAATAGGTGGGGGGAAAGGGGAAGAGGGAAGAAATATCATAACTGGAGGGAGGAGAGGGAATAAGGAAGGGGAAAAGGATGAGAAAAAGGGGGAATAGAGAGAAAAGAACGGGAGGAAAGGAGAAAGAGGGAAGGCTGAGAGTTGTTAAAAGGGAAGTGGGAGAAAGGAGGAAGAAGAGGATGACCGGGAGGCTGCAAAGGAGAACACAGATCACCATGAGTGACGGCATGACGAGAGCACCCTGGACTGTTGTTCAGAACAGGGAGGCAGCAGGCAGTCTGCAAGGTCACTGTCAGATCAAGGCTCCAAGACACCAATAGTGCTTCACAAAGATGCATGGCAACTGTTCCTTAGAAGAGAAGTCCTCAAAGGGTAGCTCTTGGGCAGAAGGGAACAGGAGACAAGCTTGGCACTGGCCAGCACTGCTGCTGTGTGTCCAGCCTGCTCAGCTCTCTGATTTTGAAGAATACCCACAGTACAAGTGCTCCAGCTTCCCCCATTCTCATCCTTTCCACTGGTTATGGGCACAGGGTCCTGGCCCCTCCCTCTCACCTCTCCCTGTGAGTTCGGCTCTAGGAAGGAAGACGTAAGTTGTTCAGAGGTTGTTATCTCTGAGGGGCTGTGCTGATTTTCAATGTATACAGAATCCTTATGAACTTGGACCAGATGTGCTCTTGGACCCCTAGTGCAGCCTAGAGATACATGTTATAGAGAAGCAGTACGTAGATTCAACTCACTACTACGGCCAGAATGATCTTTCTAAAAATTAATCTGAACCTATTGGTTCAGATTAGTCATTTACGGGATAAAATCCAAACTCCTTACCCTGCACACAAAATCCTTCATGACTTCTGCTCTTCACAACCCCGTACCTACCTTCTCACCTTTGTACATCTGGATTCTTTTCCTGGAACATTCTTATCCATTCACCCCCTGGCTAACTCTGTCCATCTTACAAAATGCAACATACATGTCAGCAACTCCTGGACACCTTCCCTGGCTCCCCAAGCTCAGTCAGAGTCTTCCACTGGGTTTCCACAACCCTGGTGCCTCTCTCTATCACTGTGCCTGTCACACAGTATTTTCCCTGCCTGCTTATTGATCTCTCCTCTCATCGATGAATTCCTTGAGGACAGGAGCCATGTCTGCTTCATCCTGATTTCTAGCACACAGCACAGGACCTAGCATACATTGGGTTTTCATGAAAGTGTGAAGAATTAATAAATGAATCTCATACCAATCTTGGACAGCATTAAAGGACTCCTCATTGGTGATGTCATACATCAGAATGAAGCCCATGGCCCCACGGTAATAGGCTGTGGTGATGGTCCGGTACCGTTCCTGCCCAGCTGTGTCCTGGGTGGGAAAAGGAAAGAGTCATCCTCCTAGAAAATCGTTTTATTCTTAAAGTCCCCAGAACAACTAATTAATTATCCAAGGTACATTTAAGGAGCACCTATTACGTGTCTTATGTTGTACTTGGTGACTAGAATAAAATGGTTCTTAAAACCTAATAGAAATTAGTAAAAAAAAAAATTAAAATCCCAACAGAAAAATGGACAAGAGGAAAGAACAATTCACAGAAGAAATGTAAACAGAAAACTATTACATAAAAAGGTTTTAAGCTTATTTTAAATTATAATATCCATTACAGATGAGGAAGTAGTGAGATGTACAACCTCACGCCTTGCTCATGGGAGTGGAACCTGGTTCAGTCTCTCTGGAAGTCAGTTTGGAAGTCTCAAGAGCATTAAAAATATTTGTTCCCTTTGACTCAGCAACTTTCCTTCTAAAAAGTCCTGTTACAAAATCAGACAAATACTTAAGTACAAAAATGTTTGTTACCACTTTATGTAGACAGTGAAAAAGTATCAACTTATATATTCAATAATAGGAGCATGGTTAAAATATAAGAATTTTTGTGTTTTTATTCATGTAAGAATTTAATGACATGGAACAATGCTTATATGTGATATGGTATCCATTTTGTAATGATATACATGCAGAGAAGAAAACTGGAAAGAAGCACTTCAGAAGGTTAATAGTGATTATCTCTGTATGAGAGACAAGAAGTACAGAGATTTTAATATTCCTCATGTATTTTTATTTTCTCTACATGTGCTCATATTACTCTTATATAAGAAGAAATAAACATTCTCACTAAAAAAAATGACCAAGACAATTCTTTATCTCAAGCAGCTCACAGTGTAGTTAGAAAGGCAAACACGTAAGCAAGCAAGCAAAGAACAAGACAAACAGCTCAGTGTTACCGGAGCACATGTGCATGCTTCACAAATGTTCACAGAATCCCCACGTGAAAGACCAGCCAATCTTCTCTCTTTCATTAGTTTTAGATGTGTGATGCTTGAACATATATAAAACATTACCTCATATATTAGTTAATACAAATTCTATGAAATCCCTGTGAGGTAGGTGTTATTAGTATTGACATTTCATAGTTGAGAATGCAAAAATGCCAACAAGGTAAGTGATTTTTCCCAAGGTCAAAAAGATGGTGATAAGAGCTGTGCCTTAAATCTAGGACTTCTGATTCCAAGTTCAGTGCACATACCATTGCACCTCAATCAATGAAAAATTTATCCACATTTACTGAACACCACCTATAATAATAATAAAAACAAGTAACAGGAACAATTACAGCATGCCATTATTTGTAATAATGTTGCACCTGTTATCCATAAACTTAAAAAAAACCTGTAGGGTATGTATTATTACTCCATTTTATAGATGAGGAAACCGAGATTCAAAGATGTTGCCCACCAAATGTCAGGATTAGAATTTAAAATTAGTCTATCTGACTCCTATACCCGTTACAATACATTGCCTTAGCCTTGAACCACAATATAAGAATGGAATAAGCACCATCCCTGCCCACAGGGATGCCTCAGTAAAGGTGTAGAGGTGGCTTAGACCATTGAAATGATAATTAGCAATATGTGACAATATGTCATCAATACCACATAAGCAGTATTAAGAAAATGTGTCACGCAAGTCAGATAAGGTAGAAACATGGTAGTTTGGGGTAGTATTGGAAGGTCAAAACAGAGATAGTATATCAGTTAGGATATATTGAATTAGTCACTAATACACAGTCCCCAAATTTCAGCAACTTAAACAATGTTTTATTTTTCACTATTATTACATATCCATTAAGAGTTAGCATTTTGTCTTTCTTCCTTATTCCAGGATAAAGACGGATAGAGCACCTACCAGAAGGAAAGAAAGTAAGTAAGTCATATTTTGGCTCTTAAAACTTCTGCTTTTCCCATTCCACTAGCCAAAGCAAGTCATGCACATCCAAGAAAGTGCAATTTATAACATGCTCAGGAGGAGAAATGTGGTAGACAATATGATTCCTCCTAATGCAATCTGCACCAAGCCCAGAAGCATCACCTGGAGATGTGCTGATCTGGTAATAGAAAGAGGATAACAGGGACTTTTCTAAAGAATTTTCCAAGCAGAGAAGTGAAGGAAAGGTATTTCAGCAGAAGGAATAATTTTTGCCAGTGAGTACTCCAGAAGAACTTAAGGGAAATGGGTAGGCAGTGAAGCTAGAAGGAGCTTTGAATGGTGTGCTACAGGGTTTGGACTTTATCTTTCAGGAGCAAAGATTTTGAGGCAGAGATAAACGTAATTGGATCTGAACTTTAGGAAGATCTCTCTGGCTGTGATATGGAGGATGAACTGGAGGGAGAAGAGAGATGGGAATCAGGAAGGTTGGTTAGAAGCTCTTTGCAGTGCTTCAAATGAGACCCAATAAGGACTTCAACTAGAGTGGTAGCAGCAGAGGTGGAATAGAAACAGATTCAAGAGGTATTGAAGAGGTAAATTATAAGGCATGGTGACAGATTAAATGTGAAAGTTGAGAAATCAAAGATAATAGTTATGTTTCTGGCAAGACTCAGCTTCTCCATGTCCTCAGCAATTCAGCTCTGGCCCAGACTGGTACAACCTTACTCAGCAAAACAAAATCACATTTAACACACTCACCATGCTCGGCGAGCCATCTGAGTCACCATCTCCTGTTCATTGAGCATGGTCTTTGGATGTCTTACTCTTCACCTCAAGCAGCTTATCACAGTATTCCTTCTGAGCATATATAGTACTTCTCCCTAAGCGTTCCGGCAATTAAAACTTTCTCCAGCTCATGAAATGAGTGAGTGAATGAATGAATGAAGAGATGGATGAATGAGTCAGTGAGTAAACATATAACACTGGGAATCTTAGGCACTATGAGAGAAATATTCAGTCTTTGCCATATCTACACAAAAGCACTGTTTGTGTATTTATGAAACATAGCAGCAGAGTTTGATCCGCCCCTTCCATGCCCTTGCCTCTTTTCCCAAGTTCCTCAGAGCCAACACCACTGACAAGACTCTTTCCACCCAGCTACAGGCTCAGACCCTAAAGCTTGTCCTGTAGGGTTTACAATGAAGCCACCCTTGCAGACTGGTGATCTAGAAGCCCAGGCAAAATTTCTGAACAACTGTACTGCTTCAACTCTTCTCACTCTGCCTGAGTCCTACCATTTCTATGTGAGAGTTTCTAGTCCCCCATCTCTGGCTGGAGCCAGGCCTTGTACCCCAGCTCTAGATAGAAGAGACCTATCACCCAATTGATGCTCAATTAATTGGGAATCCTGGTATAATAATAAATAAGGTTGGATATGGAATCAGTTTCATTTCTGTATTCTCAGTGTCTAGTGCAAGGCTGTGCACACAGTAGGGATTCAATCACCACTTGTTAAAAAGGCCACATAGATTTGAGGGTAAGAACATGGTCTCTTGAGCTGGTAGTCTGGGTGTGATTCCTGTTCTACCACTTAATAACTATGTGACTATGGTAGGCAGCCTCTGCAGTGGCTCCTAGTGATCACTGACTCCTGATATTTATGCTTCTGTGTAAATCTCCTCCTTGGGCAATTTACCTGTTGAGGCCTTAGTTTCTTCATTTAAGAAATGGGAATAACAACAATGCTTACTTTACAAAGTTATTGTGGAGATTAAGTTATTATATCTAAAATGCTTGAAACACTTCCTAGCACAGAGTACATAGTAAGTGCCATATAAGCATCAGTTATTATTTTTTGCACTTCCAGAGCCAATCCCAAGAGCAGGGCCAGCTTCCCAGGGTCTTCAACTGAAGGGAATGAGTCTCATGCCATATGTCACTTCCTACTCAAGGGCTGCCTCCAGCCAGTGTCAATATACTTTCTGCAAAGAGTAGAAAACAGCCTGACAGAAAGGAAAGGGATGAGTATAAGAGTTGCACAGGCCTTGACTCCCAGAACTGCCATTCATCAGCTTTGTGATTTTGGACACTTTGGTTTATCTAACTCTCTGAGGCTCAGTTTTCTCAAATCTGGAATGGAAACAATAATGCCTACTTTGTTGCATGTTTATAATTAACTAAGATGTATATTAAGTGTCTAGCTCATAATAGGTACTCAAATATGAGAGCATTTAGCACTTAATTATTATTTAACTTTTCTAAGACTTAGTTTTCTCATAGGTAAAGTGCTGGTAACATTGTAACCTTGAAGTGATTGTGTGAGGATTAGAGATAATGTACGGGGATAGCCTGGCAAAGCATACATAGTAGGTGCTCAAAAACTCATAGTGGCTGCTGCTCTTACTGTTGATATTGTTATGGTTATTTCACTTATACAAAAGCAAGTTTGAAAACAACAATCCAGCTCTCACTAGCCTGTGCTCAATGGAAAGTAGCCCAGAGAATCACTCCTGAACCTCCCACTCTCTTTTATTTTTTAAAATCACTTTGACAAACACTGATTCCTCTCCCACTAATGAGAGTTAGAAATAGAACCACAGAGGAGACAGGAAGGAGGAGAGAGAAAGAGGCATGACTCATTGGCCACTTGAGGAAGGAGACCATGACATCAAGAGCAATCAATTTATTTCTATCAAACAGGCATTTGTTGAGCTTTTCCTATGGGCAGAGCATTATACCAAAAAATAGACAACAGAGTGAACAAGCCTCTGCCCCGAACTTCAGCAGCTGCTTCAGTGTGGCAGACAGACAGAGGGGCGAGGGAGAAGGAAGATAACATCAACTCAACACCTACTATGTGCCAGGCACTTTGGTAAATGCTTTATATATGAGATCTCATTTATTATTTGTGATAACAAAGTAAAACCACTAGTTGAGCACTGTTATATACTAGGCACTCTACTAAACACTTTTCCTATTTTATGTAATTTCTAAACAGCCTTGTAAATACTAGTATTTCTTTTACCAGTTGGAAAAAAGTTAAATAACTTGCCTAAGATCTTGTAACCAGGTCATGGCAGACTGAGATTCAACCCTGGGTTCTG